CAGAAACGTCAAACTATGGTCTTACACCTGGAGTTTTATATTTGCTGCTGCCTTTCTTGTTATGGATGCATTAGATGGCCTGGTGGTCTTGTTGACAGCACCACTTTCCCACTCTGTTCATTTGCCTTTAGTGACTCATGTGTACTTCCTGCTCTGAGGCAGCTGTGAATAGTCACTTTTGTTCCTGTGCACCTCACATACTGAAAACCTAAGAAAAACATCTCAAACTCAGTTTCCCTGTGCAGGGCAACTGTCAATTTGGCAAGTCGTGTAACAACAAGAATATTTTAGATGCCAGAGAAGACTCATGAGGAAATAATAAGTTAAATACTGAACCATCCTTGGGTCACGTGAATAATAATGGTGGATAATATTGACTGTTAATCTCTAAAAAGTGTGTTTCAAAGCATGGTTCGATCTGCTGAGAATTGAATACTCCGTCCCCTCTTCTTTTTACAGTCTCTTTGTGTGCTACCACCAGCCTGAACGAGACTCTGTTCCTCTAACCATTCTCACATGTGCTGTTTATTACTGCCTGTGCTGAGTCAGTCTACAATGACTGCGGATGACACTGTAGGTGGATAAGAAGCAGTTTTGCTCAAAAATGTGCCATAAGGTTTTCAGAGTAGAGCACGTCACACTCAACATTACTATTGTGATTTCCTAATATTTCCTTTCATGTGGCTATACTTTTTCCCCCCACTAACAAGACAAAATCAGAACCAGAATTAGTTTAATTCTGACCTTTTGCTTAATCTCCAACATAAGGACATTTCTATATACTTTTGTGATCATTGCAGCTTAATGGATGCCTTTTGATTCTCTGCGTTCCAGATTTGCTCACAACTTACTGTTCGTGTTGGTTGAAGCAGCAGCTGTCTGATGCGTTTTCCATGTGGTGAGGTAAAATGGCAAGAAAAACTCTCATCGTGCACTCCAAATTTTAGTCCAAATGCTGATATCAGTCCAATGGCATCTTAAAACATCAAGTTGTGTCTCATTCTGACGGACTTCCAGCTGCTGCATCTCAGAAGAGACAAACAGGAAGTTGGAAGCATCAATATGCATGCAGCTTCTCATAAATATGAATCACACCCTATCTTGTTATCTTTAGCAGGAAGATCCTGGAAGCACGGTGTCGATTTAAAAACACCACAGATGTGTTTTCTGCATGTTTGTTTGCGGTTTTAATTTTGCTAAAAGCTGGCACAATATCTAAATCACACCCATTTCCTGTTTCCTCTGGACTGGACTCCACTCAAGTCAACTCACATGCAACTCATTCTAAGTGAAAATAGGCCTACTTTCACTTTCTAACATGTGCTAGTCCCTTAAAGAGAATTAAACTAAACATCGCCTTTATCTTGGTTTATAATCAGACTTTGTTATTCAGTGCATTAAAGCCTGCTGAAAAATAGCTATATAGATGGTTAATGTGTGCAGAGGATTCTTTTATTCTGCAGCTTTTAAGAACACTGAAGCAGATCGTGTAACTGTTGCATTTTACTCCAAATAGTCAGCTGACTTCCAGTGCAGTTTATTATCTCTGTGGAACTTTCAACGTAGCTCAAGAAAACAAAACTCATAAACCAGGATCAAAGTCACTCACCAGTGTCAGTGGCTCTTCTGGGATGGTGTTAGGTCAAACTGACAGACTTCTGCTCTTAAAAATCTCTCCTGTGTGTTTGTCTAGTAGCAGCAGAGCAATGCAGCATGATTCAGTGCAGCCAACCTGCTGCTCTGCAGGGTGAGGAAGTTCAGCCCATTGGCCTCTCAAATTAGACAAGCCTCAACTTGTCATCTGGTCTGGTTGCTAAGATAAGTGCCAAACAGCAGTAGAAGCAGTTAAACAGGTCACTGAGCACCACCCTGAGGAGAAAAGAAGGACTTGCAGTGAAGAAAGGCCCTCTGCTGCAAGAGTTTGGTATGTAGCCTTGTTCATTTCCAACATTGCTGGAACAATATGGACACTAGAGTTCTGTGTCTACTAACGTTTATGCAGTGTTTATGTGCAAATGGATCCATTAAATTAGCAGTAAATTGAATATTTAAAAAAAAAAAATCACAAATATGTAATTGTTTTTTTAAGAAAATACTTAGAGTGAAATAAATTATCAAGCCTCATCTAGAATATTAACAACAAAACTATGTTTTTCCTACTGCGTTATTTCAGTCACACATACTTACCTGTTGTGTCTTTGCTCTACGGCCTAACAGTTTGGGTGCTCACTGCTTCATCATTGTGTGTTACTGTGAGCTAGTGCCCTGCTGCAGTATGTGTGTAACTAAACTAATGTTGAGGCTACACAAATATATACACACATACACACACACGTATTTTTGCATGTGTTGTGATGCTGAACAAAAATTTGATATATACATGTACAATTTTTTTAAAGGATTCAAGACAAAGCGGTCAACTCCTTGATATAACTGAATTCTTCAAAAAGTCCCTGGGACAAAGTAAAAGGCACACTTAATTGATAGTCAGAAGAATATGTTTAATAAAAATAATTAAACCTCAATTTCCTCTATAGAACTTCATAGAAAGTAATCCAATAAATTACAAATGACTTTTAAGACGTGTTTTCCTGCACTACATTAAGAATTATTTTGACTACACAGACCACAACTTGCAAATATATCAACTGTCCAATGAGAAAGAAAGAAAAAAAAAGAAAAAGAAAGAAAAAGACACAAACTGACCAGGGTGACATTTAGGATACTATCAAGCTTGAAATAAAAATACAAACCCCATGATGGTAGTTTTGTCATCTCAGTGATTACATGTATGAAAACCTCCCTGTACAGCAGTAGTGTGTTTTGTCGTTTCTCTTGCATATTGGTCATTGTTTTCTTGTGTCTGTGTTTAATGCAGATTCAGCACAGCCTCTTTAGCAGCAAGCAGTGCTTTCAAGGTCTGTATACAATATAACCTCTACAAAAAGAAGGGAAAAAAGGAAGGAAAGCAATGAAAGCGAGAAGTCCCATCTTGTGTCTACATTTATCTCTTAACGAGGATTAACACAGTCATCAATCCATCGCTGCGGGGCAACAAAAAGTAGCAAAAGTCATCAGTCAGTCACCTACAGCAGATGTAGCAGTGGCTGGGTGTTTGCATAAGGGCACTACAAGTTTAAAGAGCGTAGAGGTGCAGATATACAAAATGACAGTGGCATGTTTAAGTTCATTGCTCAGACATAGAAAAATACCGTACTGTTAGTAATAATAATTAAAAAAGAAAAAATGCAATTGCATTGCAAGCAAACCCATGACGAGGTCTATATATAACAGGCATACAAGAAAACCACATTAAAGCAACATTAGAAATCAGGCATGTCTTCAGTCTTTGTTCATGTCTGAACCCACGGAGAAAAATGCTACAGCTACACTTAAGAACTAAACAGGTTTTTCAGCGGGCTGTCACCCTCAGCCCAAACAGAAACCTCACCTCGGAAATAATTTGTGTATCTAACAGTCCACTGTGTAACAGCAGTCCTAGAGCAAGCACTGTTGTGCTGGGAGAGACTTACAAAAAGGTACTTCGGTTCGAGTGAACTCCAGTGTTTGTGTGTATATCCTGGTTACAGGTTTAAAATGGACATGTGCACGGATGCTGAGCAAAACACACAAGCATGGATAGTGAGCGTAGATGTGAGCGGTGAATGAAAGAGAGTGAGGTACAGGATAAGGGCACTTCTACATCTATCTGAAGCTCTGTTCGTCAGAAAACAGAGTTGAGGGTGAAGTGAAATAAATCAAGACAGCGCTGAAAACTCCCAGCAACAAAAGCTATTATTGAGCCCTTCCTGAAGCTAACCCGTGTGGCACTGCGTAAAATTTAATACTTAGACAATGACAGTGATACTACAATCTTAGCCAGGAACTGAACTAACTTGTGCTTGTGCCCCATGGGCTTTGTAGGAACACAGGTTGCCATGCAATGCGTATCATCAAGCACTTGAATCCTCCAAATTTCCAAAGAGAAATTTATGACGGTATTAAAAAAACAAAACGACAAAAAAAACCAAAAAAACAACAGCAATGCGGTTTTTTACGTCTCATAGCCTGTCAGCCCCCACACCACCACCTAACATACAGCCTGGTGAGTTATGGATGCGGCGAGAGGAGCAGCTCAGGAAGCAAAACACAGAGGAAGGTTTCATTTAAAATAAAATCAAAAAAGGCCTCTGACACACATTCCAGCAGAGATGAGAACATTGTGTACATTGACAGATCACACACACACCCATGCACATGTACATTTGCACAGTGAAGCCAATCCATTTAGCAAAGTTGAGGTAAGATTCAGTCAAATACATCGGGGTTGTAGAAATAATATCCATCAACACTACAAAGACCAAACAACTCCGTCAAGACCGCCAAGGGTCAAAGGGCAGTTTTTTGGCACACAGTAGAAGGTTTTTCTCTGTTACCGCAGCTCAAGGAGCTTTTAGTTATAATTAAGAGATGTGCAGGTGAATGTGAATGCCTACTGTTGGTGGCTAAAGTGCGCCTTGAACATGCTGTGGCATGTTTGTAAGGTGATGGTGAATATTAAAATGTAAAGTCAGACAGTAGAGAAATGAATTATGTTTAACTTCTTTTTTTTTGAAAGACAGATTTAAGATTGTGTAGGTCTGGAAAAATAATAATTTTACCATTTTTCCAAGTCCTTACTAAGGAAGGAATCATTTCCTACCTGGACAAGGAGAAGTGATAAATAACCTCTTCAAGATGATATGAAGGTATTTGACAGGTTTGTGAGAGTTGTGCACTCGGGTGGAACATGGCAGACAGAGAATCTACAGCTTCAGTGACATTCATTAGCTGCCCAAGTTATTGCTGACATATCCAACGTATGATCTGCAAAGCATAAGTGTCAACGAACCTGTAAAAGTACTATTTACAAGAGAACCCAAAGTGTTTGTCAAGTGTCATTCCCCACACCCCTGACAATCAAAATATATTAATAGTACAGCTCAAAGAGCGTGTTGATGTAGTTTTACTTCTTTTAATAAAATTAATCCTGACATAATTACAATAATGCCTTTTTTGTTGCAATAATTGCATGGTACAAGTTCAGAGTTCAGAAATCTACTAAAGTCTGACATGCAAAATGTCTCAAAACAAGACTGTACCTTGTGAACAAACATTGACATTTTATTTCAGTTTCTTTAGGTCAGTTTTTCCTATTTTTTTATTTCTTTTTTAAAGGTTTTTGTAGTCTTTATTACAGAACATTGTAGTTAGTTCTTGTATTTACATGTAAAGAAATCACAACAGAAGTGCTGGAAAATCCATATATATATGTGAATATATGTATACATTTCTAGGCAATACATAAATAAATTTATATTTATATATTTGTAGGATCAGTCCTCATCACTTGAGTCTGAATCGTCTGAGGATGAGGAAGAGCTCCCAGACTCTGATGAAGAAGACTCTGCTTTCCCTGAACCTTCAGGACCACTGTTATCCTTTTGTTCTATGGATTCATCCTCTTCCTCCTCCTCCCCCTCATCCAAAGCGTCTTCCAAAAGCTCGTCTTCCTCCTCTCCATCCTTGTCTCCCTCTGGCTGCTCTGTCTCCTGATGTGATGACTGGGAAACTGAAGGTAGAGGAGGAGCAGTTGGAAGGGTGGGGTCACTGTTTGAGCTCTGTGGCTGTGTGGTGGACACAGGAAGGTTAAGGCCTGGAGTGAGAAGCGTCCCTGGGTAAAGCATACTGGAGAGTAACAAGGGGTTAAGAGACAGTGGCTGACTGGAGGCTGCAGAGGCAGCTGAAGCACTTTGTGTGGCGGAGGAAGAGGAAGCAGAGCTGGAAGTGGAGGAAGGAGTCGTGTTTGAGCCCTCTGTCCTTTCTCCTTTGGTGTCTGAGGTGTGAGAGGGGGCTTTAGAGGCAGTTGGCTCTCCTGTCCCACCGCTGGTTATTCCCTTTGTTTTCTCTTCAGAGCCTCCTGCAGCTTCCTGAGCAGGCTTCCCAAGCAAGCTGCCCATACTGAGGAGGTTTGGCAGTCCAGCCATACCAGACAGCATCATGGGAAACATGGCAGCCAAGTTACTTGCAGCCAGGTTACTAGCATCAGACGGCAGCCCCATCAGGCCTGCAGTGAGCTGCAGGGACTGTAAATTCTGGAGGTTTTGCTGGAAGGCCTGCAGACTCGTGAGGTCCATTCCAGAGAGGAGGCCGTTTGCCAGCAGTGGGTTCAAACCTAGTGCCGAGGCTGCCGGGTTAGGTGGTGCTCCTGCCGCTGCAGCTGCAGCTGCCGCTGCCTTGGCCAAAGGATTCTTAGGTCGCCGTCCACGCCGACTTACCTCCTCTGGAACAATGGGTCCAGTCAGGATCCTGTCAAACATGCTCTCTGGGAGGTAACCCTGGAAAAGATGGAACGATGTTGGTAGGGTTCCCCAATACAAGCAAATAGTCAGGTAGTGACAGTGACAACAGTTCACTGTTACTTAATTAGGCTCATTGAGATAAAACTAATGTTGTCCTAAGAGAAGAAGAACAGCACATATTTGAACATATGCATTAAGGTTAGTCAGGCCAGTTTTACTACTATCTGCACTCAATAACATGAATGGGGTGAATTTAAAAACCATTTCGATGGCACCAAACTGCCGTCTCTAAAATGATCAGAAACAGGTTAAAACCTTCATGACAGTAGAACTTACGCCTGTTTAAATTTTATAAGGTATAAATTTTATAATATGTGAGGGAAGTGTTACTCTGTAACTTACCGACTGTTTAACAACATCGGCCCATTCAGGCGGGACTCCATACTCTGGGTTTTCCTGAAGGAATCGGCATAGGTCCTTCAGCGGAGGAGCAAAGGCTCCACCAATCTTCAAGAAAGAATACAGACAACATAAACCCAAGTGCACATCACTGTTATAATGTACACACTGCCAAAATGATTATTAACAAACTAAAAGCCATCTTTGTATTTGTATGGCTGGTTATGACTTAAACACCACCAACACACCTTGCGTGCGTTTCTCCTGTTGATGATCTGGACCCTTTCTTCTCCCGTCAAGCTGTTCACATCAATCTTGTTGGGGTTTCTACAGCGGTGCCTTTTCTGCTTTGGCCGGCCATCCTGGAAGTGGAACTGCATTTGCATCTTATTTACACCCTAAACATGAAATGTAACGACAGTTAGTTACATAGAATGTCTAACTACAAGAAGTTTTCTGCTCATACTGGTTCCTCTGTTTTTTTAATTAAATATGTACTAAATAAAATAATGTTTCTAAATGTCTATTATTTTAGTTAATCAGGAATTGTCTCTTTTCAACAGACAAGAAGAATTTGAAGCCCTTGGAACAAAAAAGTAAAGACTTACACAGATAAAAGCTCCTGTGTCTGCCACAAAGCCAGGGTTTTCTTTTAGCCACTGCTCCAGTTCTTTCCTCCTGGGGGCATCATCCCCAGCCAGCCGGGTGCCATCTTTCAGGTTGATAACCGGGACCCTGCTCTCAGTGTCTGCAGGGACCTGACTGGGGTTCTGACTGTAGCTTGATGCAGGGCCTGGAGTCATGCCCACCTGGCCAATACCCCCCCACCCTGGAGGTACCTGAAAGCATATGAGCATGTCATTATACACTGTATACTTTGCAGAACAGCCATAAAATAAAATAAAAACCAAATCAGAAGAGCACTTTTAACAAATATAATTGGTTCCAAAAAAAAAAAAAATCAGGAAGCTGCCATTTGTGATTGTTTTCTGATTTGTAGCATAACATACTTACTAAGAAGTATGCTCAGCTAACAGAACAACTGCTTACCTGATCGGGAACTGTTGGGACTCTACTCTTGTTCATGAAGAGCAGGTCCATTCCCTCAACGTTCTTCCTCCTCCCTCTCCTCCTTTTAACCACTGGCTGGCCATCTATTACTCCATTTGGCCTCATCTGACCAGTAAGACCTGTAGGAACTGGAGGAGAAACAGCCTGTTAGCAGTGAACTACTGTGTCAGAAAAAGGGCTAACTGTAAATCTTTTCTTAAATTGGAGCCACATTCATATTTTGGTGTCAGGACTTCGACTTTTTCTTACATTTAAGAATATTATGAACAGACCAGATGATTTTCTTACAGAATTAAGATATTTAATAAAGAAAATGTCTGTATTGAGTACACAAAGCCAATGCAACAGTCCAGACTGGTTTTCTCTGATCCTTTGCTACCATCTTGTGGTGCTAAAGAAAAACAGCATTGTCCATTTCAGCACACTGTGCACGAACAGATGCTCAGATCTTTGCTCTATTTACATTCAGATATATTTTAGACAGCACACATCATCAGGCAATACATTTCTATAGTGCAATGTATTCCCTTTTTGGATAACACCAACTGTTTAACTGCACACAACTAAAGCCTACTCAAATATGAATGGTCAACACTACTTGGACTACAAACAGAGAACTTCTGCTGCCTAAAGTCTTTCCTGTTGCCTAGAGATTTGCGTATTCATACGCCAAATCTGTTGAGGAAGATTATTTTTAAAGAAACATACCCGTCTGGAAGCTGGACTGAGGTTTGGTGATGTCAGCAAGTCCTGTATCTGAGGCACTCTGGAGCTCATGAAGCCGAGCCAGGTACTGCTGCTGGGCCTGGGGACCTTCCTCGGACTCCAGGGGCCTCTTCAGAGGTAGACCCTGTTTCTGGAAGGTCAACTTCAGACCTCCCTCCTGTTATACAGACAACAGTGTAAGACAAGTCTAGGAAAATGACTGTCGGGGAAATGTACAGATTTATAAACAAAGAAAAGCTTTAGACTTTATTTGTTGAGTCTGTCTGAGACTTTCCTGAATGATCACATTCTTTTTGTCTTGTGATTTAAGGCTGACTAGGACTGCTGTTCTCATTGCTCTCTCTTAATGGAAATGCTTACTTGAGATCTTTGTTAATTCATCTTGTAAAAAGTTTCTCACAAAATAAAAACAAATCTTGTTCAGATATTTTCTGGTTAGTAATACTGGGACACATGGACACACAGTGGGTAGTGCTTAGCAAAGCAGTGGGTAAAGCTTTTTCAGACTGGAGTTGAAAGCCATGCCAAAGCAATAGCTGCTGTCAGCATATAATATCTTAATATTGAAGGTAACAAGCTTCTGGTGTTTAATGATCTGTGATGGTAAAAACCATAAATTTGGAAAATGATCCCCATCAAAAAACAGCATAAAAGGAAAGATGAATACAAGCAAATCTGAAGCCTGCCATGTTAATGGCCACATTGCTTAGGAGCATATCAGAGAACACCCACAGCAGAGGTCTCCATTTCAATCTGATTATTAGCAAGACCCCCTTCAGTCTAGAGAGGCTTCAGACTGAACCTTATTATATTCTCATGACTGACTGATTTGTGCTCATGTAATCACAGCCCAAGAGCCCAATTCAAATTGAGTGTGTGGGAAAAGAGAGGAAGGCTGCTATTAAATTAATCTCTCCTCCTGCCAGGCAGTCAAAACCACTAATCATACCCAAAGGAAAGCAGGAAGAAAACCAGAGAAACATGCTGAACACGGCAACTAACACCGGTCATGGCAGCAGGAAGTGGTAGGGTCCTAGGATTAGGGCGAAGCGGAGGGAGGAGGGGAGGAAGGGAGAAATCAACATACATCGTTGAGTTTTACTGAGAACTCCTTGTTTTCTGCAACATGCTTGGTCACCTTTGACCCCTGTGGTGAAGCAGAGGGGTCCTCGCACATGCTGTTGGCATTGTCCAGCAGCTTGGTGGTGTAGAAGGAGGCCACAGCCCCTCCAGGCTCATAGACCCGACGTGTTCCCGGCCATTTGCCTTTAAGCACTGCCTGGCAAATGCTGTCCAGGCGGTTAATAATCACGCGATCCTTAAAAAGCAAGAGCCACAGAATTTTAGTGCGATTTCCCCACAGCACCTGACCACACTGTAAGTGGACATATTAATGTGTTTTCAGCATTACATCATCAGCAAATTATGCAAACCGCACATATACATAGTTAATCACCTTTGGCCAGTATGATGCAGCCAGCATGTACCCTCCACCCTGGAAAGGGTGTGAAGAGTTGTTGGAGATGCCATTCTCAGCTACATGGGTGTCTTGTGTTTCATCCTGCGTAGCGCTGAGAGATGCCACACTGTCCTCATCAAATCCCTTTACACTTGTAACAGTGGGGACTGAGAAAAATCGGCAAAAAGACATTTGAGATCCACAAAGAATGAAACAGAGAAAATGCATTTATTTGAACCTAGAAAAGCTCACTGTCAGCACTCCTAACAAAACATTACTTGCTTTAAGTTTTCTGGAACTTGCATAAGAAAGTACTCACCCTTCTTTTTTCCTTCCTCTCCCTCACTTTCACTGTCATCAGAAGAAGATGAGGAGGAGGAGGATGATGAAGAGCCAGAAGAGCAAGATGAAGAAGAAGAGGAGGAGCTGGACCCTGAATGTGATGAGGAAGATGAGGATGACGATGAAGAGGAAGAAGAGCGTGACGTCGAACTTGAGGAGGAGCCATCTGAGTCGGACTCTGTGCCATGCCTGGCATCCTTGCGGCCCCTCTTGGTCTTCTTCGGTTTCCTCTCTGAGGAGTTGGGTGTGAGGGGTTTCGTTCGTGCTGCCACCATCTGCCTTTCATTGTCCCTGGTTACTGAAACAGGCTTCTCTTCCAGACCTGTGGGAGTAGCTGGTGCTTGAGTCGGGGTCCAACTTGCTCCCTGTCTTTCCTTGCTCTCCTCACCCTCTGAAATTGGTTCCACTTTGGGCGTGACCCCACATAGGTCTGCGTCTCTTTGAGTGGGTGGAGGCAGTGGAGAGCCTGTCAACACTGAAGTGGTAGCTTGGTACTGAGGGTGTAAGAGCGGTGTGGATGTACGTGATTGCTGCTGTGCAGCTTTTGTTTGACTGTAGTTGCGTTGGGCAGCCATGAAGCTGAGTTCAGGGTCTCTCAGAATGTGGTAATCAGTGCGACTTACACCATGCTTTGCAGCACCAATTAGCAGGTCACGGTCATGACTACCAGCCTCCCACCAAACAGGTAAGTCAGAGCTCATCTGACACAGTGGCAGACGCTCGTACAATAATTGATGTCGAAGGACTTGTTCCCTCACCTGCCGAAGCAGCTCTATTCTGTACAGGGTACGAGATGCTCGCTCTTCTGTAATGGGCTGGATGTTTAGAGAAGGGTCCACTGCAGAGTCTGGAACAAAACGAACAAGCAGGTTTGAGAAAAAAAAAATTCTCAACAGGAAACTCTCAGACTTGTTTTTGTCTGGAGCGTCAATGTCACAGTGTTTATCTTTCCACAAATGATTAACCTTATCAGTCGTCTACCTCAGAACTGCTGAGCCAGCTTGTTTACTAAGGTGTTACAGACCATCCTCCAAAACAGAACCTTGGAGTCAGGATTGAGTGAGCCACATACTACATGAAGCACTGTTTTCACGTTAAGTAATCCAACTAAATGGATTTTCTTGATGAGATCAAATGGCTTAGAGACACTAACAGTTGAAAATAATCTGAAGGATCTTCCCTTCAGATATAGGTGTGACTGGACCATAATATATGACATTGTGATCTGCATACATGTCTGCAAATAAGAAAATGAGCATCTGACCTCCCTCTTTAGGTGGCAGGCGACACACACGTCGGCACATGGCAGTAAAAGCACAAAGGTATTTCTGCAGGCTCTCATCAGTCTTCTTGTGCAGCCGAGCCATAGCCCTGAACTTGGTCCAATCAAACCGCCCGAGGTTTGGGTCAAAAACGACACCAAAAGTAGAGACAACGCGATAAAAGTCAGCCTCTTCTCGTCTGGTCCATCTGTTGAAAGTGGAAAATACATTTAAATTCTATTAGTTAAACATACGCTCTCTCTTAAAAAAAAAAAAAAAAAGATTTCTGATGTCTGGTTGGCATACTATTGACCAGTCATGTTTGAAACTGCGATACTAAGACTAGAACTTGAAAAAGTGCATCAGAAAACTGATGGCTATCGTTAACAATCTTGATTTGTATTTACTATTTTTAAAACTGAAAATGAATATCCATTGGCCCATTTGAAATCCTAGAAAATTGCCTGTTGCTCTGGGAGGCTATGTCAGCAGGTTGGGTAATGGGTTCCCACACTGCCCATCTCCCGACACATAATATTCTGCTTTTACGAGAGCATATGAATATTGAATTGCTTCTTTTTCAGCCATCACTGATATAATCTGTGTTCTAACCTTTGTTGCCGTTCAATCTTGGCAGCCATCTTGGGGTTGAGGGTGTCGTTGAGAGTGGGGGGTAGCGGGCAAAGTGGAGCAGACAGCACCATAGTCTGCTGGGAGGACTGAGACTGAGTCTGGTGGATGTGTAGGATCTGGCGGCTCTTGGTGTAGCGCTGAGAAGCTGTTATCAGACGTCTCAGCCTGGCTGTCAGCACTGAGGGGGAGGGCCAGTAGGCACTTTCACTTTCTGTCACTGGAACAGGATCTGAATTAAATAAACAGCAAAAAGAGTGGCATTATTTCTAATATTTTTATTGAATTTACCACTTGAAATCTCTAGATTTCTCCTGCCCGTGGGAGGCCTGTGCTTGTAATCATGATAATTTGCTGTGAATTACAAGCATCTAATGCTTACCTCCAGCACTGTCAGTGATAACCAAGTCTCCAGGAGAAGAGGCGTCGTCCTGAATGAGAAGAATATATGTTTAAAGAAGATTACTGGAGAACTGACAACCCCAACAAGTCAAATTAAGTATCAAATATCTTGATGCATGCTCAATCATCCAGGTAAGGAAATCCTAAAAAGTTGATTCTGTTCAGCTGAACAGAAAAACGCTACATCCACATGAACAGAATAAAATTTTGGGGAATACATATCAAATAGCAACATTCACCTTTGAGTCTTGTGACCTTACCTCCATGTCGTCCTTTAACAGTGCTGGAGCAGGCTTGTATTCTGGATCATCCACATCCCTATCCACATAGAGAAAGTTTGTGTCTTGTTGTTTTTTTTTTGCAGATGACAGATTAAAAGATATCTGGACCAGCCTAATCAAATGAAAGTAAAAGACAAAGTATTTTAACTGTTCAGGTGGGTGTCGTGTACTCACCCATCCATGAAATCATTGTTTCTCTGTTCAGCAGCGATGGCCTTCTCATCTGGTTTTCCCACACGCTCTAGGAAACACAGGGTAGGGTCTCCACGAATAGTGTTGTACTTCTCATAACCTGGGAAAGCACAGGAGGATAAGTAAACACCAAAATTAGTTAAGGATAATGCATGGAAACAGATATGAAGTAGACAAGCTGGTTCATTTCCCACCAACGAAAAATATTTTAGCAGGTTTCCACTGATGGTACTTTAAATAACAAATGCTGACTTTTCCTTTTCACCAAACTCACCACTATCATCACGGAAAAAGCTTAACTTAAAAGCTAACTTTTAGTTGGAACTTAAAATCCAGAATTACATTTTTTGTACTGAAGTTTTAAAACAAACAAACAAACAAACAAACAAACAAACAAACAAACAAACAAACAAACAAACAAGCAAGTCACATTAGTAGAAAAACTGTGTTACCATGCTTAAAGACACCCAGCAGAAGACACTTGTCAGAGATTGCATCCCACCACAGTGCTGGAAGCTCTGAATTGTCAGGCTCTGGAACCCAGATCTTTACTTCACTGTAGAGGACAAGAAGACGCACAGCTTTAGACGGGTATTATGGGGAGTGATGTTTATATATTTCAATATACTTGCTGATAGCTGTGACCGTTTTTCAAAAGATACTTCTTGATGCATTTTTAAAAAGCAGCTGGATTTGATTAAACAACTTAAAAAAAACAAAAAACAAAACCCTTCTACATCTATTTGCTTCAATACAAACGTCTTTTATTGTTAATCCATACAAAGCTATTTGTAAAATGTAAATAGTCATTTCATGTTCATGGCAATTGGCATGTTTTTGAAAAGATCACAATGTGGCATTATACCTTAAATACAAATAAGGTTGCTATAGTGAATTTAGTGTTGAATCTGGCCACGTCAAAGATGCAAAAGCACTGTAGTTGAACCATCTTGTTCTTGAGCAGAAAATAAATAAGTCCCGTCTTTCACCAGCAGGTGGAGCTCTGCAACCTTCTAATGAATTTGGCTGATCATTTGTTCCCTCAACAGGTTGATACCATAGGCTAATGACACCACTCCAGGAGAGAAGTCTGTGGCAACGCCTTTAACCCTTTAACCAGAGTTGTCATTTAACATCTCTATCAAGGCATTTACTGTTGTATTAAGGCAGAGGAAGCATTGGTCTTTTCTGTACAGTGAGATTGCGAGTAGTGTACAATTATAAAAATGCTGCATAAAGGTTTAAAAGCTGTCTACTGCCAAGTATAAACAGATGAGTTATGTCCTAGGAAGAGTATAGTATAGTCTTTGCCAAAAATAAATTCTAATGGAGACCCAAGCAATAAGAGTTGCAGGAAAAACTCATCTTAGTGATAAACGGTTTTAATTCTCAGTGCAAACAACCCAAGTTGACATCAGACTAGGTAAAAGTCAAGCTCACCTGGAGTCCACGCCATCTAGCACCTTCTGGGCCTGGCTTCCTATCACCTCTTGTTTCAGGTAGTAGAGCATTCTGACCCTGAGCAGCACCCTGCACAGAGAAAACCCACTGGTCAGAACAAAGCCCTGACCACTCAGCCCTGCTGAGCAAGCAGAAGTAATACACAATACACAGACATACGCACACAGACTCACCAATTTGTTGGGCAGAATGCAATTAACTGTGTGGTCAGACTACAGACTGTATTGTATACTCATTTCATTTTCACTTATACATTTAGTCACATTCATCAATTTATGCCTATAATCTCTCATCTTTAAGTGTACTAAGAGCACAAGTACAGCTATAAATACTCCACTGTACTGGCCTTTGACGGAGCAGGAGACTCTACACAACTCTTCTGAAGAGACCGGCATATGTGCCAACCCTGATCAATTAACTATGAATTATTGTATCACTTAGAGTGACATTATTGTATAGACGTCACAAGGGAGTCATGAGCACATCCACAGCTCGGCTCTGAGGACTGAATGAACAGACAAGCGTCTCTCTCCAGTTGTCATGTGGTTGTACTGGCAGTAGATGAAGGCTGGGAAGTCGAGGCTGACAAGGTAGAGAAGAGGCTGACTCACAGGGGAGACATTAGCTCTGTGATGCATGATCGCACATTACAGGCAGCAGGCTTTGAGCGCAGACAGTGAAGTGCTGGGAACCGATGTGCTGGTGTACCAGAGCTGTAGCGTCTAGCAAGCCTTGAGATTTTCTTGGTGACGAAGACCTACGGTCTAGTCATTCTGTAAGAACACATCATGATGCCTGTTGGCCAATTTTGGCTCTAAGGTTTCAAGGACAAAAATAAATAAATAAATGAATGAATTTTGAAAAATCCTAAAATGATTTTTTTTAGGTCACATCTCTGTTAGTACCATTGTTGGCAGGCTAGTCTGCTTCCTTGTATTTGTGACCACTTTTTCTCATCACTTATACCACTATATTCATACATCATCATATGGATCCATTGCTTCTCCTGCCAAGGCTTCTTTTCAGCACAGCTTTTCTATCAAGAGCACTGAAAAAACTGTGGGCTGCTGCTCACAAATACATCATGTCAGGCATTCCATCTTTCTTCTGGTATAACTAGGCTAAATATTGTTATAAATGAGCCCAAAATCCTTCTTTCATTTACTGACACGACCATGAACAACCGGAGGGCTCCAGAGTCTGTCCGTCTGTAGGAGTGATGGATGTCTGTGTTGACCGGCCTGGACTTGTGGCTCTGGTAAATTAGAGCTGAACGTCCTCCTCCCTCCGTCCTCCACCCTCCATATTCCTGTGTGACTGGACCCGCCCAGGAGCAGCTGCTGCTTCCTCTGCCTGTCAGCACCCCTTTTCCAAGCCTCTGTTAGTTGCATTTGTGTTTGTGTGTGAGAGATGTGGTTCACTCAGAGAGGCTGCAGAGGATCTCAGCACAGTCAAACACAGTCTTTCAAAAACAAATAACCCAAGTATGTCTGACATGAGTGGCATGCAAAAAATCTCCAATGGGCTGTACATAGAAAACACCATCAGCGTAACAGAGAGATTCTTCATCATAGATAATATTCTCATCCAAAACACGCAATGACCATAAAATGCCTTCTTAAACCTGCATAGTGTAAGTATATTTTCATAATTATATTCTTCAGCATGCAGTAAAAAGGGGGAAAAAAATCTACTGCATTTTATTCAGTAAGGTCCAAGATGTTCACATCGTTATCACCCACTATGATCCAGTTTCATAACCTGTTGATGCTTTAAACTTTTCCAAGTCTTTTAGTAAACAGTCTACAGTAATTTACCCCTTCTTCCTATAGCAACCATTGCTGTGCAAGAGCTGTGTCCTACATTTGTGGGTCTGTTAAGAAGCCAGTGCACACCCCCACCCCACCAGTCACATTCCAGGTCCTCAGAGGGAAAACGCACAAGTCAGCAAACCCTGCTAGCTGCATGTCCCCAATTGCCCGGCGTGTCACATATCAGACAATCCCTGGATTCAGCAATACTGGAAAAGGAAACAATGGAGAACTTTCTATGGAAGCTTCAGTGCTCTGCATCCAAAGCCCAATGGACACAAGCTCTGCGTTTTACAGCGCTATTCCCCCCTCTGTAAATAAGAGAGATCTATGACAGCCATTAGATGGGCTGAAGCCTCATGAAGATTCTTATCAGCTAGTCTCAACGTGAAGTCTGTTAATCAATCAGGGGACTGTCAGCTCCAATACATGTTTTAGTGCTTCCTAATTATTGTTGCTTGAAGGTGCCGCGGTTAAAATTTGAGCCACGTGCAAACTGTATTTTCATACACTTAGGCTTCATTACACGAAAAATAACTCGAGATCATCTTTGTTAAAAGAGAATAATCACCACCTGCCAGTTTCTATAATAGCTTAAAGTTTTACATCAGCACTCACACACCTCTTTCTCATGCACGGGAGACTAAACAACACAGCAATAGACAATTAGTCCCCATCTCCACTATAAGCCAGTTAAATGCATACTCTCTTTTATCTTATAATGCTTTTGAAATAGCAATATAGAACCTCTATATTGTGGTCATTTGGAACATTATTTGTCTTAATTGATGAAACTCAAATTGAATGAAAAGTGCCATAAGTGAATACTTACTTGTTGCAGTGGTGTTTCAGGTGCTTCTTATAGCCATCATCCTGAAGCATATGCTCAGGGTTGTGCTTCCTGAGCCACTCAGCCTTGTGGATGTCAAAAGAACTAGACTGGGTCTTCATCTTTTTACCCTTTCTCCCCCGAGGAACTGGGGCAGACAAGCCTAGCAAAATAAAAAAGTAAGTGTTGTGGTTCAAATTAATTCTTACTACTTACTGATTGTAATAAAGTCAGTAAATGTCGGCTTGAATTGCTGAGACTCACCTAAGTGATTCTGCAACTCCTTTGTGCGTCCATCCTCGGTAGGGGCTATGAGGTCCCACATGAAGCTTTTGATTTTGTCATCTCCACGATAATGGACCAGGCAGTAGGCCAACAAGGCCCTGCAGATGGACTCCACATCCCACTCAGTCAACTGCTTCTTAAAACGGCCATGGTTGAGGATATCCTTCCAACGACCCCATCTGGAAACAGAATGGGAATGCCACACTTAGGAATACTCATTTGAGTATGGAAGCAGACTCTATATACAGTTTGGATAATGTTTTTTAGTGTTAAAGCAAAAATGCATATTGCTGTAATTTATAATCCTGATGGTCTTGTTTGTTTGTATGTGAATGGACAAATTCAAGTGGAGATAATAGGATGTTTAATTCAATCTATTACAAATTTTTCAGGAGCCTCTTTGTTGACAAAAATTCAGGTAAGTCCTTCCAAATACCAGCTATGTTATTTAATAGTTAGTATTAGGTTAAACTTATTAAATGTATCTTACCCGTAGACAAGCAAGTTCTTCTCTACTCTGAAGCACTCTGTGCGGCCATAGCTGTTCAGGCGATCGTAGTTTCGTCTGAGCTTAGGTTTGGTCTCATCGCCGTCACTTTCGCCCTCTGAAAGCTCTGCTAGCTCATCCTTGGTGGCACTAAAGGGCCTTGTCTGCTTTCTGACACGAGGAGTGTCAATGACCAGGCTGTTCTGTAGAGGGGGAAAAAAATTTCATGGACTTTATGTCTTTTATGCAGTTAAAAGGGAATAGATGTCCTGTGTATGTCACATTCCAATTATCCATTTCTGTGGATATTGTATCCATTTTAGTCTGGTACTCACTCTGCCATTGACCATATCCATATCAATGTCAGCCTTTTTGGCCCACTTGTCCCAGAAATTAGGGTCATCCAGGGAGATGTCTGTACGGTTTCCAGATGCTACAAAACTGGCCTGAAAGCAGACATCAGAATCACATTAAGTTATAATCATATTTGTTTTTCCCCGTATCCCTGAGTCAGGAATGGGCACAGGTTGAGAATTTTAAATAGCCAGCGATATGCAATCTCCACACTCATGTACACAAAAGGCGATAAAGCTGATGTTAAATCATTTGTACTTAATGAGTTCTATTTATCAGATTTCTTGTTTTTTACCTTGGCAAAAGTGGATCCTCGTCCCTCAGACTCAATGGTAATGGTCTTTGTCCTGCGCTGCAGGATCTGGTCAATGTCCTCCTCACAGAATTTGGCCCCTTCATCCTCCTCATCCATGATTGCCCCGTAGGCCCCACGTCGCAACAGATCTTCAATCGCCTTTTTGGACAGCTGCTGCTGCACAGCCTGTAAGGTAAAGAAAAAAAAATCACATTAAAGTCATGAAACTATAACACTGTTATAATTACATGATAACAGACCTGAAGTCTACAAAATAGACTTCAGGTGTGAAATGGAACCACAGGAGGAATGGCACTACATAATGCATGAGTTGATCAAATCTCCAGTTGACAGAAATAGCACACTAAATGCAGGCACACAGATAGAGCGACAAAAAGCGTGCCGAATTATTAAAATCACAAAATTAGCAGCTATATATCCAACCCCGGCATTTGTTTAGTATGCAGATATGTTCAGTCAAACCAGATGTAGAAAACTGCTAATACATCCTCCTTACAGTTCATATAACTCCCAGGGGACACAAACTGCAGCTAAGCATCCACCTACACACCTCACAGTGTTGACACACTCCCTCACAAACAGATTAGACTAACAGGATCGGTTACACTTCAAGTGGAAATTTTAAGAGTGACCTTCACGTTTTAGTTTTTATTTTTTTGTTGGCTTGACAAGAAAAAAATTGGCTTAGTGTCATTTCACATTTGCTACAGTGTCCTCCTAATGTAATTCAGTATCCCGGGTATGTATGTCAAAACTTTTATGTTACTGGAATGGCAGCTGAAAGAAATGCAGCATTGATCTCTTGTCTTTTATAAATGTAATAATTTTCAGGAGATCATTAACTTGTTTCATATCCAGCTTTTCAGAGTTTAAGATGGCAAAGCTGGAGAAGAGAGTGGACGGTGTACTGTTCGTTAACAATAAACAGAACACTTCGATCAAAAAAAAAAACCATGTTATTATAATTTATTTGCATCTCCCCATATGAGGCATTAGTCATTGGCGCTGGGGCTCGTGTAATTCTGCAAGATGGTTTCTAATTTACAAGATTTCAAGATTTAACTACTCATTTCTATTCCAGACCGTATGGACAATTCTCAAACTTACCCCTCCCCCAGTGCCTCCTCCCAGGCTGTTATCTCGGCCACTCATGCTCTGCAACACTGCTTTATCCAAACCCAACTTGAGGCTGGCGCGATCAAACATTTCTCGCTCATATGAGTTCCTGGTGATCAAACGGTACACCTTCACTGCCTTGTTCTGACCGATGCGATGGCAGCGAGCCTGGGCCTGTAAAGTATACAAAAACTGAGGAAACTGCACCGAGCATATAATTTGTTTTAATATCTACACATTGATTTGACAGACAGCTCTTCTTAAATGACTCATTAAAATGAGATTCAACAAATAACATGCAAGTTGTTTGTGGAATGACTGAGCTTTCACAACATGTACTTTTGACTAGACACAGTGTAATGCACTGTGTCTAGTGGCTAGTTTTGCTTCCTATTAATTGCACAAGCAGATCTCAGATAACTGTTAGTATGCCACTTTCTCGAAACAGCAATAAAACAAAGTCTACAGCATTTCGCTGAACCCACTGCCGAGTCCTACCTGCAGGTCGTTTTGTGGGTTCCAGTCAGAGTCGAAGATGATGCAGGTGTCTGCTGCTGTGAGGTTGATTCCCAGCCCACCAGCTCTTGTACACAGAAGGAAAACAAAGCGATCTGAGTCAGGCTTACTGAAGCGGTCGATGGCAGCCTGTCGCAGATTTCCACGAACCCGTCCATCAATACGCTCGTACAGATACCTGCAACATAAATGAAATAAATATGATGAATGTTTGTACAATACCTTTTTAAATAGTTTATTCTGAGTTCTTGTACATGGGATCCAGGTATAGTGCTTATCTAATCAAACACCTCGGTATGTTCAAAATGTGGGCGTTATTCTTTGACAGCCATATTAATTTATCCATACTCAAAACAAGACCACAGTACTTATGGTCTTCACACTATCAAGTATTCTTGTTTTGTTTTGTATTCCCTTTTTCTTAACCCGAGAAATATAAAACTATTTCTACAAGAGGTGAGTATGCTCTTTCATCCTCGAGTCCACAATCATCCCCTCCTACAATCCTACCCCTTGCTCTTCCTGGGGTTATCCACTTCCACTCAAGAGAAACCTCAGAATCTCCCACTTGTCTAATGTGATGGAGCCCTGAGGGCTTTTGTAACCTACTGCTGAACCCTGTCTGAGGTCTGTGTTGCACAGCACCTCACATGTTTACAATAGCTTCAGGTTTGTTCTAGCTTCTGGTGGGCAGCCAGCAGAAAGAAAGAAGAGAAAGAGAAAGGAAGAGCTAGAACAGGACAGTGAAGGGCTTTAGCTGGAACTTAGTTTGTACACATTAGCTTTATATCTTTGATGAAAGAGAAAAAAAAAAAATTCACGTATACTGATTGAAATAGCTCCGTGTATTGCACTCTGAAATTTAAACCTAAAACCCTGTGATGGAACTGAGACACTATCAAGTTAAAAATGCTAAAGAGAAGATTAAAATAGCAGGCTGTCGTGTAAAGTGCCTGGCAGTTTGGTGTGATAATTTGACATCTCTTTGAACATAAAGGAAATTAGAAATTTAAACAATGCAGGTAGAAAGGAACATTTAAAACTACTACTAAGTGTACAACTAAAACCTTGTTTGGTTGTGTACAACAGATATGGTGCTTCCTTACTATCAGACTGGATAGAACGAGGTCAAAGGTAAGCGAGTAAGGGTGATATCACATTTGAACTGCAGGACTACAGTTTGTCTAGTTACATCCTGTTACCTTCTCTGAATGAGGTAGTCTTCCAAGATGTCCAGACAGCGGACCATTTGGGAGAAGATGAGCACCTTGTGCCCTCCTGCCTTCATTTTAGGCAGCAATTTGTCAATGAGAACGAGCTTCCCAGCAGACTGCACCATAGCCTGCAGGTGAAAGTCTAGGGCAGTAGGGCTGTGCACTTCCCTGAAGTCTTCTAGGATCTTTTCCTCTGCTCCTGTCATAGCAAAGACATGGGCGCATTAAAAAAAAGTGACGCAGTATTGTCAAAATTTATTATTTTATTTAAAGCCGGATTTCGATTCAATGACTGATATTTAAGAGCATAATTATATGAGAAACAATGGTACTTGTGTACCATAAAAAAGCAGATTACAGAAAGAAAGTAAATTGGCTAAATTTGGCTGTTAGCTCTAGAAGGTGAGAACAAAAGTTGTTAGTTTGCAGTTATTACAGAACTTCTTTATTTAACCTGTTAGCAGTCGGACGTACCGCCCACGGTACATTGGATGGTTTAGGGGACTAATTGGACTGCTAAGGGGTTAAGCTTTCAGCGCTGTCCTACCTTTGATTAGGTAGGGGTGGTTGCAACACTTTCTTAGCTCCATCATAGTGTTGACCAGGTTGGGCATATTTGCCGGGCCAGCTCCTTTAGCCAGGAAAGAAAAATTCTTCTCTAGGATGGCACGGTAGTATTTCTTCTGAATGTTGGTGAGCTCAACTTCAATGATGGTTTCCTCTTTCGGAGCCAACTTCTTCTCCACATCTTCTTTCAAACGACGCAGCATCATAGGCTTCAGGATACCCTGAAGCTTTTGCACCTGTGGGTCACAGAGACAGTTTGAACTCACCTTTGGCAGCTGCTTCTATGCTGCACTTGTTTGGGGTCTAAAAATTATATGTTTGAAAAGGATACAACTGTAGCTGTGTTGGGTTATAACGAACAGTATTATCCAAGTCATCAAATTTCCATTTTCAAATTTAGATTTATTGCATTTAATAAGTGTATTTTAAAAGTTACAGAGCAGCAAAAAATGAAGAAATTCAATTTCTGTTCCATATCATAGACAGACACGTATCATTACACATGGAAATGTGTATTTCACAAGTATAGCGGGTGATGCAAAGAACCACTAAAAGTAGATAACATACATTATGTAAATAATCACTGGCTAGAAGTGTAACTCGGTGTTAGCTCAGCAGTTGACTGCAAAATTATTTTCATTTCCAGCTACTGTTAAGAAATGCCACAGTGGGGAAACTATTTGCATCATTTGGTGTTAAGCGCAACCATAGTAACACATACAATTTCACTCTTAAAGCAGAAGTCGCTGAAGAGTAAAGCTGATCCAAGCACAGTATTTTATACTACAGAGTCACCTTCTACATATTATCATTATTATTGTAGCTTGCCAAAGAGATATAATCTAGGCCATCTCATTTGTATGTCTAGTAATTTCTTTCCTTCATCTTATGAAGACCTACATCTCACAAATCATGAATTTGTGCTGTAGTGCAGCATCACGGTGTAGATACTATTACACTCCAAGGACTGGGCCAGCTTTACAAAGTGCTTTTTTTTTTATTACACACCCTGTGCAGGACTTCATTTAATATCAGTTATGCTGTGTGGAGAAAATAAGTCTCCTAACAGCACCAGCAGCTTTTACTATGAAAAGAATTACACATTTCTAAATTTAGTTCCATGTGTTGAACACTGGCTGCTCCAAATTTTTCAACTTCCACACTCCTGACATTGAGATGTTTTCAGCAGCCTTCCACTGAACACCTCTTTGGTAACACTGACTAAAAATGAAATGCCAAACAGCAGTATGTAGCAGGAAATGCGAAACTGTCACATAGTCCAGCACTGAGCAGTGTAATACCTGTTATCAATTGTTATTATTCATCATGTGTTGGATGTGTGTGTTTTATGACTGTGCCCTAGTTAGAATAGGCTCCAGTTCAACAGTATCTTCACTGATGAGCAGTGTGTTTGAAATTTGGCTGCCCATTCATAAAAAAATTACCAACACTGAAAAGAAAGATCTCTTTTAGATTCTGCAAATATTAAGGTGCTGTGTGGAGCCATAAAAGCACAACAACACAACACACATTGATGCAGTTTTTCCTCTAAGGTGTATTTGTGTCATGGAGAATAAAACTCTTGAGACAGAATGTGCACATATCTAAGCTCACCTGCTCTTCAGTCTTAAGGTCTCCAAACTCCTGCATGAAGGTGTTTTCAGAAGGGAAGCGTGCCGGCTCCAGAAAGTGAAGCAGGCTGAAGAGCTCTTCCACTGTATTCTGGAGAGGAGTACCTGTCAGCAGGACCTTGTGTTCCTTGAAGAGGACAAGAGTTTAAATGTGAAGTGAAAATTGCTTCAATTGGTATTTCTGAATAAAATTCGGACAATGTGTAATAATTTTCTCTAAGCTCATGATTTATCTACCAGGTTCATGAGCTTGAATCCCTCTAGCAGCTTGCAGTTCTTGTTCTTGAGACGATGGGCCTCATCAATAATAACGCAGCGCCACTCTATGGCATTGAGTTCGGGACAGCCTCCAAGAATCATCTCAAATGTGGTAATAACAGCCTGAAACCTGTAGGCACCACGTATGATACGACCCTGAAGACAAAAAGGGGAGAAGTGTACATATTTCATCCGTTTAGTTAAAATATCGTATTTTATTAGCTGAAGTATGCTCAATGTGTTATGTGATTAAAACAATGTTGTTTTCTATTTACACAAGCACTGAATCTGGAAAAAAATGTACTGGAAAAAGTGCTATAAACAGATGCACATGAAAGGTACATAGTTCTTCTGACAAAGCTTGTCCTTTTCTGTGTTGACATTAGAAACCTACATATTTGCAACCTTTTTAGCTGTTGACAGCAAACACAGGGTTTCCTTTATTTAGACTTCTCAAACATCAAAAAACATACATTATGGTTAGGAGGCTATCTACAGCATATCCAGTACACAAGCACCTGCCAGTGAGTATTTATTATTTGTTTATTTGTTTGTTTGTCTGGGGAAGCGTTGCTTTCCCCCGCCCCTCCATTTGTATCCATTGCCTTGACAACAGTCCTCAAGGGATACTCAGTTATCCAGTAACCCTCTCCCACAGCCAGCCAGCCAGCCAACAGGCTGCTGTTGAGGAGTCAGCCACTCTGATATGCCTGAGCAGCGATGACAGAGATCTCCCCGTGGGGGCTGCTATGACATCACAGGCTGCCTGGGAGACAGGCTGGTGGCGGCTCCACTCTGTTCTCCTCTCGCCTTAGATTCCTCCTACGGTTCGTCAGAATACTAAAAGGTCCTAACTGCCTGCTGTGACACATCACATGGCCTGCCAACCACATAAAGCTTCTGTTCAAGGCTCACTAACTACCTAGCAGCCTACATATTGTCAGGCACGGGCCCTATTTGGATTCTTGCTATATGCATATCTTAGTATTATAAACCAGATATTTGTTGAAACGCTATCTCTCTCTGAGCAAACCCAAGCTGTTTATAGATTTATATTTTATACAGGCTGACAAAAATCAATACAGCTACAAAGTGATACCTTTTCAAGCGATTCTGAACACAGCCTTGACACAAACCTTACAAACAACTTGCACCAAGCACAGAAATCCACTGTGCTTGAACTGTTGTTTGTTCCTGTCTTACGGCAGATGAGTTTTCCTTGAAAAACATGGTGTTAAATGAGGTTGCTGCACTAGCTATAGGACTGTAAAGGGTATCTGGCGTTTGTGTTGCACACACAATCACAGTTTTCCTGGCTTTTCAATATCCGACTCCTATTGTTATAAGAAGGCCTCCTGCTTTGAAACATATCATTACACTACTCATAGGATTTCATGTTACTGACACAGTGCTGCTGTTTTTTAAAAAGCACTGTGATTACTTTAATCTAAGTGAATCACAGCCTTTCACTCTTAAAAGGTAAGCACAGCAGAATTGAGTTCTGCTTGCCTGTTTTTAAAAAGGAAAAATTAGGTATATATATTAAAATGAACTAAAAGACCTCCAAATCCTTACATTTCTCTATGTGGTTGGTAAGAGAAACAAGCTGGGAGTACCCCTGTGCATCCAGATCTGATTCCTTTATAGGTCCTTAAGTCTTCTCATAGCCAAAAACAGCCAGCGTGGTGATATACAATCATATTACGGTACCTACTACACATTGGCCAAAACTATATGAAAGGATGCAAGTAATACATAGCACATTTCAGCTTCTTAAAGGGCTCCTTTCTATATTATTCTCTTGATTGTGTGACAGAATAACACTGGTACTTGTAAAATAAGAACTACTGTACTCAAGAGCAATAATTGTGAATTCTTGTGTTGAATGTTGTACTCATTTTAAAATGTATTATTTTCTGCGCTTGATATATTCATTTACCTGTGCATCCCTGAAATACATCTCATACTGCTGGAGCATCTGCCTGCTGACCATGCTTCCATGGTAAACGATGACATTGAGGTGGGTCCAGGTACGGAACTCCCGCTCCCAGTTGGTGATGGTGGAGAGTGGGGCAATTATGAGAAAGGGCGCTTGGATTCCAACGCGATGGATTTCTTCTAGGAAAGTGATGGACTGTATTGTTTTCCCTAGGCCCATCTCATCTGCCAGGATGCAGTTCCGTCTTAGAAAAGAAAACACAGTGGATTTAGGACAAAAAGAAAGCAGGAGAAAATAAATTCCTTGCTTTGTACAAAAAGTAAAGTAGGTGTGTGTGGGGGGGTGCAAATGTTTTGAATCTAAGTACTGTATGCAATTTTATCACAAACACAGCGCGGTGTATATTATGAGAAATTCTTCTCTTCTAACAATATACAAAATGTGTACAGATGGCCAGGGGAATAGGTGAAAAGAGGAAGAGCAAGAAAATGAAAGGAAAATGCAGAACTCCGGTGACAATAAAAAAACAAACAAAAAAAACAAACAAAAAACAGTGAAAACAAGATAATCAGCAGTAATAATAGTCCCAAGATATCATACAGCACACAATGGTAAATGCAACTGCCTCTGCTGCGTGGTGTACTCCAGCTAACCATTTATTCAGCTGTCCAGTGGGTGGGGGTATTATGTCTTGATGCTAATTGCAACGTGCAGATATTCCCACTGGCCTCTTAAGCAGCTCTCTACTTTTGATGAATCTCTCTGCGTAGGCATACACAAACTCCTGCATGCTCACACATAACAAAACCAATTCCCAGGGTTAATGCAAGCGCACTGACACTGTGTTCAGCAGATGTACTGTGCAGCACATCTTTTGAGATTGTAGGCGAAGAAAAGCAAATGTCGCAACAGTATGCACCTTGACAGGAAATTTGACTACCCTCACAGGCCTAAACAAATAATGTGAATACAGAAAAACACAAGATGGTCCCACACACGCAGGATTCAAAGCAAGATAAATCATTCATTATTTATAATCCGCAATGCCAATACACCCAAAAGACCTCTTCTTGAAACACAAAATGTATGTAAAATAAATCAAATATACTACAGTATCCTGAACTGATGGACGTTTCTGTTATTAATCCAATTTGCACTGATACAAATAGAGCAAAGAAAACAACAAACAAACCTCTTTGTACAATGCTAAACAGATTAGCAACACTACATATTATATCCCCAAAAGAGACCACAGAATTGGATAAGCACATCTCTGAAGTATAAAAAACAAAATATTATTACCTTTATGAAAATAGGGCACATTACATAACCACTGCAATTTGTGATGTGTATGAAATTATATGCCTTTATTTTTATAAAACAATGGTTCCATAATTAAATTTGATCTCACTTAAATTAAAAAGAAGCGTGTGTGGGGGGGCTCTGTGCAACGCTTCATACAGTTGACTGCTTTTGGTTTGAATCATATCTATGAAATAGACTCCAATTTGTTCATGTAAATGGAGAGTCCTCTTCAAACACCATAGGTTAATTATGGAGTTCCACAGAGTCACGTGCTAGGGTCAATTCCTTTTACATTATATATGCTTCCCTTAGGCAATATCATGTATCATAGCATACATTTTTATTGCTTTGCAGGTAATACCCAACATTATCCATTAAGCAAGATAGCACACACCAATTAGTTAAACTGCAGGAATGCCTTAAAGACTTAAAGACCTGGATGATTTTCAAATTTTCTGCTTCTAAATTCAGATAAAACTGAGGTTATTGTACTCGCCCCAAAAATCTTAGAAACGTGTTATCTAACCAAATGCTTACTCTGGATGTCATTACCTTGGCCTCCAGTAACACTGTGAAGAATCTTGGAGCCATTTTTGACCATTTAATGTGCATAAGAAACAATACGTAGGAGTACTTTATTATATTTGTGCACTCTCTCTAAAATTGGAAATACCCTGTTTCAGAGTGATGCTGAAAAACTAGTTCATGCATTTATTACTTCTAGACTGGACTATTGTAATTCAGTATTAGTAGGCCCTCCTAAAACTCCTTGAAAAGCCTTCAGCTGATCCAAAATGCTACAGCAAGAATATTAACAGGGACTTGGAAAAGAGAGCATATTTCGCTCATGTTGGCTTGGATCTTGTTAAATCATGTCAAATCTTATCAAACAGGTTTCTTTAACACGGCAATGACTTCAATGGAATGAAATGCTCTCCAGGTTTTCTATGGGGCTGTGATATTGCAACCCAATAGAGCATCTCTGGGGTGTGGCTGAGTGGGAGATTAACATCATGGATATCCAGCTGACAACTACAAAAACTACATGATGGCATAATTTCTGTACTGTGATACCAGTTAAAAGCTATTTGGGTTTTTCACAATAGCTGCAGATTTTTTACAGGTATGCATACTCACAGTGCTTAAAACTAACCTGTTGTACCAGTTGAAAAGAAGCCAGTTGACTCCTTCTAGCTGGTAGTCCCTGAGGCTGTTGCCATTCCTGTATTGCCTCGATTGTTCCCTCTTCTTCCACAGATTGGCAGGAGGACGCTCCTAAGTGACATATATGGCAGATTGGAAGTTAACTTTACATTTTTGATGAACACTTTTCCATAGAACGTAAATATTACAAATGCATGACACAATTTCTTATACATAATGTTAGCATTATGACCGTACAATTGACTGGCACCCCATCCAGGGTGTACTATAGCCGAGATAGGCTAAAGGATCTGTAACTTATACAATAGTAAATTGGATGTGGAGCTAGCATCAGTGTTCATAAGCAAAATGTTGGTTATTCAAGCAAACTGGAGAATGACAATGGTTTAGAATATATAAAAAATAAGGAAATCCAGCAGTGTGACATACATGCAATATAAAAACAAAATCTCCAGCACGCCAACCTTGGTGCATCTGCAAACCTATATGGTAACATTGCACGCAAAAAGATATACACACAGGTGTAGAGGTGTACACCTGTGTAACTGACCTATTGTTACAACCACAGGTATGCAAAGTGTGAACTATTGTAGTGGACAGGGAAATAAAAGACGAAAGATAACCTGAAACAAAAACTGTCAGTCTTCATAGTACAAGTTACACGACTGATCTCTGTGTAGTCTAGTTATAAATACAACAGTTTGTTTCTCAATAAAGGGGAACTATAGAGTATGATAAAAAACAAAAACAAAAAAACATTGTTCTCTTTGAAGATTAGTCTATTTCGTTTCTCCTAATTTTGACTTCAGTCTGTTCAGTGCGTCTTGTGAATCTTCAATAGAAAATGTTTTCCTAGTTTTACCTTTCCAATAAAAACATCATTCACTGATGTTGAAGTGACTGACAGCAGGGGTTTGTCTTTCAAGCTCGCTCATACCCCTGTGTGAGCGTTGTCTTATTTAGATCACTGTAATATGTGTGTACACGCACACGCGCAAGAGTGATAAAGAAACATGGAAATACAGTGATAACTGAAGAAGGCTGGCAGGCACAACTTACCACCCTGCGTGAGTCTGGCTTGGCTGCCTGCAGCTGCTCAAACTCCTCAATCTTGCTCTGATCTACATCGTCCTTCAGCTCCCAGGTGCTGTCTTCATAAGGCAGAGAGCACCACTTCACCAGGTAGTACACCACTTCCTGTAACAAGCAGAGGAGGATTAGCACTGAAAAAGACTAGAGTGAGGCCAAGCTTTGCTTTTGCAATATTAACAAAGGCTGCGAGGAAGCCCATTAGGATGGCCTTGGGCATTTCTGAGATACAAAGACATTGCTAGAGTGGAGAATCTTTTGAAAGGAACAAAACCAAGAAAACCGTTCAGGAACTTACACAAATACAGAACTCACGTATGTGATGAAATGAAAAAGGATTCGCTTACCTCTCTTGTATCTTTGTCCTCGCAATATGACACCTCCAGCACTCTATCTACTTCTACATAGTCAGGGTTAAATGGCTCCTCTTCCATCTGAGCGAGACAGAAGGAAAACACAAAAGGAAATGAAAAAGATTAAATAAAGGGAATAAACCAAAGTGCCCACTCACCATCTGGAAACTGAGATAAACATTATATTGTATCGAATGAGTGAGTAAAGAGACTCAAATATATGCACGCAGATGTGTACTGAACGTGCAGTTGCATCCTAAAAGACACACCAAATTGTGGAGACACGCACACCCACTTATAGAAATGTCCTCGACAAAAAGACCCCCAAAATAAATAAATAAATAAATAATAACCAAATATTTGTGTCGACACGGGTAGTACAGTACGTCCCCAGACACAAACCAGTCGCACATCCTTACATCTGCAAAGAAGAGTGCCCTCTGTGCCTGTTTCATCTTGAAGCGTTTGATCTTCTGCTGAATCCTCTTGTCCTTCTCCAGCTGCTGTTCTGTGGCCCACTCACAGTGTAGGTAGGAGCTGAGACACACACACACACACACACACACACACACACACACACACACA